TTGCTTTAGCTACTCGATGTTCAAGAGCAAGTGTCAGAGTCTCTTCTGATGTCCATTTTGGGCTTTTCTTTCTTTCCTGTCTTTTTAATGACCTCTTGCTTTCTTCATGTATAATGTCCTTGATGTTACTCCACAACGCATCTGGTCTTCGGTCATTAGTACTCAAATCCATTCTTGAATAGATAATGGGATTACATATGATAAATTAGCACAGATGATATTACAAAATATTTTGACATATAAATTACCATCAGTATTATAGCCATTTTCATCATCTCTCAAGCAGCATTTACTATGAAGAATATCTTCTTCTTTTGAATGTCAAACTCACTGCTGTTGAGTTGATTCAGACTCATAGCAACCCTACAGGACAGAGTAGAACTGCCCCACAGGGTTTCCAAGGCTGTAATCTTTATGGAAGCAGAATGCCACATCTTTCTCCCGAGGAGCAGCTGATGGGTTCGAACTACCCACCATTTGGTTGGCAGCTGAGTGCTTTAACCACTATATCACCAGGGCTCCTTTCCAATGTCAATGTTGGAATATTATAAACAAAACTGAAAATAGCAGTATGTTGTTCAATTTTGTTCAAATCTTTTTTCAAATGATTTTATACCTGGATTTATAATTAACAGAAAAATAGCCTGTGTTGAAATTAGTTTGGGGATTATTTGTAAATGAATCTTCTTCAAGTCAGGCAAATATTTTTATTTCTTTGTTTCAGTTTACTTATATTTTATTGGAATGTCACTTTTGTTGCATATTTCACCTACAGTTTGCTTTTCTCTAAACTTTAAAAAAAAATACTTTTTAATCCTCTTAAAAGCGAATAAGCCAAACATCTATCTTTTTCTGTTAAACTTTTAAGTTTAATAATAGAAATCAATAGTTCACACTGAATAAGTGTGGACAGCACAAATTCAAAATTAACTTTACTTTCTGTTGAAGTCCATGATTTGCTCTTTGAGGGTCTTCTGCGGTTTTGCTTAAATTAACTCTTCTTATCTAAATTAATTACTTCTACAGCATTTAGTTGGTATTCGGATCATGTGTCTGGGAGTTGTTGTAAAGTCAAATATAAGTTTAATCAAGATGTTCCACCTTTGGACATATCTATAATAGTGCATTTAATTTCCCTATTGTTTCAAAGCATCATCACTATTGGCACAGTTGAGGTCACCCATCACCTGGAAACAAATTCAAATGATCAGCTGCACGTGTTACGTAGGATACTCTTGGATTTTCAGCCAAATTTCTTGCTTGTGTATCTTTTATTTGCCAATCCGTTACACTGTCATAGGCTTGCCTTTAACAATCTTATATTAATGTCTAAAACTAAAAGCTTACTTCAGTTCTTCACTTAAGTCAAACTCTGTACTTCTAAGAGCAGGTGTAAAGCCAGTGAAGTACATTGATTCAGACCTGTTTTCCTTCTTTAGATAGTGCAATGATACCGATAATAAATGTTAGTTTTTCAACGTATCTTCTGACCATGGTACAGTCCAGTTAAACCGAGTATTTTATTTAAAAAAATTTATATATGATTTCACCTCTCACTCTGTTACCCATTAAATTAATCATCTGAGTTTGAATTCACCATCCAAATAAAAAAAAAAATTATTGCCATCCAGTTGATTCCAACTTATAGTGACCCTATGTGTGACAGAGTAGAACTGCTCCTTGGGGTTTTCTTGGCTGTACTCTTTACGGAAGCAGATTGTCAGACCTTCCTTCTGTGGTGCTGAGGGGGTTTGAACCGACAACCTTTAGGTGAGTAGATGAGCATACACCTTTGGTGCCACCCAGGGACCTGAAGCCACACAGGGACCTTGCTCCCCCAGAGGGGGAGTCTGAATTGAGATGTGCTGTAGGTATAAAATACACATCTGATTTTGAAGATTTAGTTTCACCATTAATTTCATTATTTTTTGTCCTAATGACACGTTTGGCATTTTATCATCAAATTTTGAAATCATTTTTACCGAACCTAGAAATTTTCCATTGTTTTCTGTAAACATTGTGCTGATGGTGCCATGGAAAGTGTGGCTAATATTTGTACTTGGCTAAATAATGGACTCATTAGTCCTTCAAGAACATTGCGTTAATATTTCACATTGTTGTCTTTTTCCAGTATTTTCAATTGCTTGTTGTTTATTCAGCCTTTCCCCCTCAACTCTAGTATCTGCATATACACTTTTTTGTGTGTGATTTTTCGTGATCAGCAGTCAAATCTTCCTTTAGTAAAGAATATGAAGTTGCAGGGATATCTTCTGACTTGCTCAAGTTGTGGATTTGTTGAGAATAATTTTCTTACTGACTTTCATTGTTTTGGTAAGTAAGTAAGTCTTCATTCAGCAAGGAATTTGTACTGTCCTGTTGGTGACTTTTATGTGGATCAGCCTGGACAGAGATAGCTTACTTTTCTGGTTTCCAGTTTTTAAAAATGTAAACAGATGGCTTCTTTGAAGATTTTTACTTCTTTGTCTTTTCTGTGTTTCATTTTAGTATTCTTTTTCTATCAAAAATCTTGACTTTTACTCATTTTCAGAAACCTGAGAGATTGAAAAATAAAATGTAATTATACTCAAGGTAGACAAAATTAAAATATACTTTAATGTGAATTAAATAAAAAGTCAATCAATAAAGAGCAAATCTGAAAAAGTAAAATTATTTTTCAGATACAGTTTTGAAGTTGGTTTTCTTCTATAATATATAAAACTATCTTCTAACATTAAAGGTCATAATATGAATTATAGTTAATGAAACTAAACTCTTAAATGACAACTACTTAAAAGTTGAAATTTTTAATGTTATAATTTTAAAAAATTAATGTAATCTTTCAAATATTTTAATAAAAATAAAACCATTCATAATTCTAGTATTCAGTGTCCATTTAACTGCCAATGTAAAGAGTTGGTTCTTTATACGTTTTGTCTCGGCCTGCGCCGTCCAACACAGGAGCACTGGGCATGAAAATGTGAGGAGTCTGAATTGAGATGTGCTGTAAGTGTAAAATACACGTCTGACTTTGAAGATTTAGTTTGACAAAATGGACATAAAACATCTCATAAATAATTTGATTACATGTTAAAATGTATTATATTTAAAATACTGGGTTAAGTAAAATACATTATTAATTTCAGCAGTTTCTTTTTACTTTCTTTAATGTGGCTACAATATCCGTTGAGTTGATTCTGACTCATAGTGACCCTATAGGACAGAGCAGGGTTTCCAAGGAGCAGCTTGTGGATTCAAACTATCGACCTTTTGGTTAGCAGCGAGCTCTTAACTACCGTGCCACCAGGGCTCCATGTGGCTACTAGAAAAATTTAAATTACATATGTGGCCCTCATTATATTTTTCTTGAAAAGTGCTGATCTAGACCTGTATATATACAAATTTAAGAGTAAAAGGAATCATTTAATTAATTGCCAAATGTTCCTCAGCCTGTACTGGCAACTCTTGCAAATACTGTCCTAATTCATGAATACTTCCAGAGCCACGAATTACAAGATGCAGAGAAGCAAGAAAATGGACACTGAGCACTACTGGGAAACAATCCTTCCTTATGCATGAATCTATCTGACAAGCTAATTAATTTGTTTTTTTCTCTTACCTAAGTCCTGCTCCTGCTCAAATCTTCCCCACTCTCCAGAGCAGTGTCCATTCTGATGTCAGCAGTGGCACAACCCACAAACCGTTGGACTCAGGTGGCTTCCAAGACATAGAGCAAGAGGTGTGGAGAAGTGTTTCCCTGGGGACTGAATGGTGTTAGTCACGAGAGTGGATGATTAGGGTGATGGGTCCCGCCGTGCCTTGCTGAGTGCCAGACTCTGAGTGGCAAGGTGCTGACGTGTTCTGTAACACAGTAACTGTTCTATTTGTGATATGAGGTCCCTCTAAGGTGCACGGCCCAGGGGCCCCTCTTGCTTATAACTCAGAGCAGTACTGGCTGGTGGAGATGTGTGTCATTACAGAATTTTTGGAAAGCAATCTGGCAACATGTATTAAAATTAATACACAAACCATTGCTAAAGCAGCCCCATTCCCGTGACTGTAGGCTGTCGATACAATGGAACACTAAGTAATGATAGCAACAGCTATCAACATATGGCCAAGCGGATAAAACAGATTCTTAACCTGGGGTACACATCAGAATGACCTGGGAAACTTCTTCATAAAGTACACGCCTGGCCTATCCACCTCAGATCTATTAAATTCGATTCTTTAGGGATGGGGCCAGACAGGTGGATCTTGAAAAAGCTCCTTAGGTGGTTACATATTTCTATGATAAAAGTATGCAGAGTTAATGGACTGAACTCCATTATAAACCCCCAGGGTATTTTCAAATTTTGCTTTAAATTAGGGGTTTTTTTATTGGGGATTTTGAAATCTGTATAACACAGAAAACCTTGATTCAGAACATATGATAATCAGAAGTTTTTAAGAGCTATACTAATTTCTCTGTGCTATGAAAGTGTTCAAATAAATTCCTAAGATAGACAAGATTATAGAGAGCTGTTTAGTCTATCTAATGTTATGGATTAAGAAGCATACAGATAATTTATACATTAACACAAGACATTCTTCTACTGGATCATGTTAGAGAAGGAATTCGGTTTGCCTAATTTGAGTTATTATTCATAGGAATAATCCAAAAACAAAACCTGTTGCTGTGGAGTTATTCTGACTCATAGCAACCCTATAGGACAGAGCAGAACTGCCCCGCAGTGTTTCCAAGGAGAGGCTGGTGGATTTGAACTGCCGACCTTTTGGTTAGCAGCCGCAGCTCTTAACCACGGTGTGCCACCAGGGCTCCACAGGAATAATAAATGAGTTAAATTTAAGAATCAGCAGAGCAATTTTCCCATTATTTGAATCATTTTGTACAGAAATTGAAAATATAAAATGATCTTTGACTTGAATAAATGTAGATCATCAGATATTTGCCTTTTACGTTTAAGTAACGCCCCAAAATGTGAGCCGCAGATGATACTTACTTATTACAGCCTGGTTTCTGAGCCCCTTTCTCACGCTTCTCCTTTTCCAGGCGCTTTATGCTTCTCTCCGTCACCAGCTGTTCTCCAGGAATCTGTGGAATCCCCATAGATGCCGCAAATTTTGCTGCGCCTTGGTCAGTCAGAAAGCAATGAGGTGTCTGAACCAGAAAGAAAAGGAACAATGGTCACTTTTTGGAAACGTGTTTTCCCTCTTTTTAATTGTTCAAACTGTGTGCAAAGGCTCAAACATGCAAATTCCATTGACTTGGTTTTCTGAATGTTGAAAAGAGTCAAAAGAGCCTGGGCTGTCTGAGTTTTTGTATTTTTTTAAAAAAAAGATGGAATATTATTAGGGATGCAACTTACATATGCCCTCAAATTTAGAGAACTTAAACCATTTTTATTTCAGGTAAACTATTAACTAGTTGGAGCCCTGGTGGTGCAGTGGTTAAGAGCTTGGCTGCTAACCAAAAGGGTGGCAGTTCAAATCCACCAGCTGCTCCTTGGAAACCCTTATGGGGCAGTTCTACTCTGTCCTATAAGGTCACTATGAGTCTGAATCGACTTGACGGCAACGGGTTTGATTTTTTTTTTTTATTATTAACTAGTTAGGAGCCCCGGTGGTACAGTGGTTAAGTGATGGGCTGCTCACCAAAAGGTAGGCGGTTCGAACCTACCAGCTGCACTGTGGGAGAAAGATGTGGCAGTCAGCTTCTGTAAAGATTTATAGCCTTGGAAACCCTATAGGGCAGTTCTACTCTGTCCTATAGTGTTGCTAGGAGTCAGAATTGACTGGATGGCAAAGGGTTTGCTTTTTGGTTTTTATTAACGAGTTGGTCTGTTCAGTTTCTATGTGTTGCATTGGATGTGTTGAAAGAAGGCTAAAGAAATACAGGAAGACAACATGAACACAAAGTAACTACTGGTCAAGTTACACTGTCAACAGAGTCAGAATCTTGGCTTATTTGAGAAACTCAAGTAACACTGCTTCCATTCATTTGCATATTCTTAGGAGAGCAGTGATTTCAAGTACTTCCCCTCAGCCAGACCCCTTTTTAGTCACTGAAACACAGCAGCAGCAATTCCTTAGGAAAAGGATTCTTCCGTCACATATACCTTTTCCATAACAAGCCGTGCAAGTTTAATGGGATTTGCTATACAGCGGACTGCAGATACTGCTCCTGTGGACAGATCTTTCCCATCCATGATACTAGCATCCATTTCAACGTCACCATTTACGTTCAAGACAGACCCACAACCTAAAACCGAAAAGACGTAGAAAAGCAAGAATTAAGACTTTAAAAATGGCCTCAGAATTTGTTCTGATTTGTCCCCTTTAATTCATCCTCTACTCCATTGTCAGAGGAACATTTTTAAAACACAAATATGACTTGTCACTCCACGGCCTATACAATAAAGCCTGAAGCCCTTCCTGATCTGGCCTCTGGCCCACTTTTCCAGCTTCATCTCCTCTCCTAGGCTACATTCAACTGAATTACTAGGTTTCCTTGAATGTACCATAAGCGCTCATTACTCTGTGCCCTTGCACATGCTGCTCCCTTTACCACTAGCACCCTTTTTCCGATTTTGTCTGCCTAGATAATGCCTACTAATCTAGCTGTGTTTCTTAACTTCTTTGTACCTGTTTCCTTATCTATAAGATGCGGTAAGAACATTAACTCATTTAATCCTCACAACCATCAATGAGGTAGAAAATGCATGTTAAACACCTAGAATAGTGCCTGGTATGTATAGGCATGCAACAAGTGTTAGCTGCTCCAATTATATACCAATCTAACAGATGAGGAAACCAAAAAAGCAACTTTCCCAACATCAAATGTCTACTTGGTGAAGAGTTAGGAATCAAATCCAGGTCTGTGGATTAGATAGCCATTTCCCTACGCCAAGGAAGCTCATGTATTTTCCACCATCCCTTGATGCCTTAGTGGTACCAAATAAAACCTAATTTTACAAAAACAGTTATCAGGGTTAAATGATAAAATTAAACTAGAAAATTTTATAAGACTTAGAATTTAAGCAAGGACATCATGTTTGATAAAGCAGAGGGTTAGCAAAAAAGAAAAAGGCCCTCAACATGATGAGCTGACACAGTGGCTGCAACAATGGCCTAAAACACAGCAACGACTGTGAGGATGACCCAAGACCGGGCAGTATTTTGTCCTGTTGTACACGGGGCCACTATGAATTGGAACTGACTCGACAGCACCTAACAATAACACAAATAAGTTTCTTAAAATTAGTTTTTTTAAAAAAATTAATAAATCCAACAGAAAGGAATTGGTGAAATAATCTCTGTAGCTCACACAGAGCTGGGAATACTTCATGTTCACACAAGCCAGAGTAGAAAAACCTTCTAATATATGGGGCATCAGGTAGAGTACTAAGAAGTGTCTTTCATCAGTGGTGGAGGAGGAGGGGTCAAAATCAGGGCTAGACTAAAGGCTGCTCTGTTCCCACTGAACAATGCTTAAAAGCAAGCCTTGAAAGGATCAAATTGTTTTTAAGGAATTTAACTGCTTCTCAGAACAACGCACATGAATATTTAAAGGAATAGGAAAACATCCAGCATTTGACAAGGTAAAATTCACAATGTCTGGCATCCATTAAGAAATTACTAGGTATTCAAAGAAACAGGAAAATACAACTGATATGAGGAGAAAAAACACAACCAATAGCAGCAGACCTAGAACTAACATAAATGATAGAATTAGTAGACAAAGACATTGAAACGGTTGTTATAACTATATTCCATATGTGCCAGAACATGGAGAAAAACATGAGCCCATCAAGGAGAAATACGGAAGATATGAAAAGGACGAAACAGAACTTCTAGAGATGAAAAAAAAGTCAAATTAAAAATACACTGTATGGGATTAACAGCAGATTAGATACTACAGCAGAAAAGACTAAAAAATTTGAAGACACAGCAATATAACTGTCAAATTCTACCAAACGTTTAGGAAGAAATAATACCAACTCTATACAAATTCTTAAAAATAAAACAAAAGAAGGAGCACTTCCCATTTCACCATATGAAGCCAGCAGTACCCTTATAGTGGAGCCTAGTGGGGACGCTAACTCCTACTCTAGCCCAGCAGTAATGAGGTATCCCTCCCTGCCCCCAGGTGTCAATGGAGGCCCAGCAGGGAACCTGGATTTCCACCTCCACCTGTCAGTATCAAGTTGATACCTCCCTTCTCCCATCAGCACAGTGTCAGGGAAGGCCTTCTAAGATAGAAGACTTAAATAAGATTCAGTCTTATGACACATACCCAAAATGTCCACAATACAATAAAAAATCACTCATCAGTATACTAAGAACCAGGAAAATCTCAACCTAAATGAGAAAAGACAATCAACAGATGCCAACACTGAGATGACACAGATTTTGGAATTGTCTGATAAGAATTTTAAAGTAGCCATCATATAAACACTTCAATGAGCAACGAGCTAGAAACAAATGAAAAAAATAGAAAGCCTCAGCAAAAAAATAGAAGATAAAAAGAAAAACCAAATGGAAAACTTAGAACTGAAAAATACAATAACTGAAATGAAAAAACTTGATGGGCTCAACAGGAGAATGGAGAATACAGAGGGATGGATGAGTGAACTTGGAGAGAGAATAGAAATTACCCAACCTGAACAACAGAGAGGAAATAGTTTGGGGGAAAAAAAATGAACAGAGCCTACGGAACCTGTTGGATGATAACAAAAGATCCAACATTAATGTCACCAGAATCCCAGAAGGGGAGGAGAAAGAGAATGCACCAGAAAAGTATTAGAAGAAATAATGGCTGAAAATTTCCCAAATTTGTCAAAAGCCACAAACCTACAGATTCAAAAAGCTGAGCAAATCTCAAATAGGATTAAACCCAAAGAAATTCATACCAAGTCACATCATAATCAAATTTCTAAAAACTAAAGACAGAAAAAGTCTTAAAAGCAGACAGAGAGAAACACCTCATTACCTATAGGGGAAAAACGATTATAATGACAATGGATTTCTCACCAGAAACCATAGAGGCCAGAAGGAAATAGCACAACATTTTTCTGAGTGCGGAAGGTGTTGAAAGAAAAGAATTATCAATCCAGGATTCTACATATAGTGAAAATATCCTTTAAGAATGAAGGAGAAATCAAGATAATCTCAGATGAAGTGAAACTAAGAGAATTTATTGCCAGCAGATCTACCGTAACAGAACGGCTAAAGGAAGTTCTTGAAACAGAAAGGAAATGATAAAAGAAGGAATCCTGGAACATCAGGAAAGAAGAATAACAACAACAACAAAAAAAAAACCACATTGCCAGTGAGTCAATTCCAACTCACAGAAATCTTACAGGATGGAGAAGAACTGCCCTGTAGGGTTTCCAAGGCTGTAAATATTTACAGAAGCAGATTGCCACATCTTTCTCCTGTGGAGTGGCTGTGGGTTTGAACTGCTGACCTTCTGGTTAGCAGCCGAGTGCTTAACCACTGAGCAACCAGGGCTCCTTGAAAGAACAAGGAAAGAGTAAAAATATGGGTAAATACAATAGACTTTCTTTCTCCTCTTGGGTTTTCTAAATTGTTTGATAGTTAAAGTAAAGATTATATCATTAACTGATGTGGTTCTCAATTATATAGAGAAAATATTTAAGACAATTATAACAAGAGGACAAAGGGAGGTAAGGTTTCTACACTTCACTTGAACTGGAAAAATATCAACACCAACAGACTGTGATGTACATATAATGTAATACTGAAGAAAACACTAAAAAAATCTGCACAAAGAGATACATATACTCAAAAACACTATAGGTAAATCAAAATGGAATTCTGAAAAATGTAAAATGTTCCTGTAGCCAATAGGGAGGCAGGAAAAAGAAAACAGAGAAACAAAAACAGAGGGAGCAAATAGAAAATAAAAAGGTAGACTTAAACTCTAACATGACAATAATTACATTAAATGTAAATGTTCTAAATACACGAATTAAAAGACAGATATTGAAAAAATGGATAAAAAATATAACCCAACTCTATGCTGTCTACTATATGACCCAACAATTGCACTCCTGGGCATTTATCTGAGAGAAATGAAAACTTTGCTGATATGAAAACCTGTTCATCAATGTTCAAAGCAGCTTTATCTGTAATAGCCAAAAACTAGAAATAATCAAAATGTCCTTCAATAGATGAATGTTTAAATAAACTGTGGTACTTTCATACCAGAAAATACTACTCAGTAATAATAAAATGGAACAAGCTATTGATATAGGCAACAATTTGGATAGATCTCAAGGGCATTATGCTGAGTGAAAAAAGCCATTTCCAAAGGTCACATATTGTATGATTCCATTTATATAACATTCTTGAAATGGTAAAATTATAGAGATGGGAAACAGATTAATGATTGCAAGGAGTTGGGGAAGAATCAAGAGGGAGGTAGGTGTGGCTATAAAAGGTAGCATAGAGATCTTCCTGATTATAGAATAGTTAATGTATCTTGACTGTGATTGTGGTTACCGGAATCTCTGGATTATGAATGAGCTCTGTTCCTAAATCTGCCTTTAAACTGAATTTGTACGTAAGTCAGAATAGTTAGGTACAGTTCGTATCTAATGTCAGTCAAATCTTTGCCTTAGTATATAGTATATAGTGTACCTTTCTATGCACAAGAACTTTAAAGAAACACTTCTAGATACACTAAAACATCTTCAACATAATAATACAGTAATAACGTTCTGATGCACATTGCAAAGTAGCGCCCATTTGTTATTATGAACCATTGTATGTATCTTGAATTTTTAAAATAATAGGCTTTACAGGGATTGGTTCATAACAATGGGCTGTATATAAATCGAATGTTCATAACCTGGGGACTGCCTATACACATGAGATATAAAGGCACAAAACTATACAAACACATTGTACTAATGTCAATTTTCTTGTTTTGATATTATACTACAGTCACATAAGATGTAACCACTGGGGAAAACTGGATAAGAGTACACCAGACTTCTACGTAGTATTTTTGCAACTTCCTGTGAATCTATATTTCAAATTAACAAGCTGAAAAAATCAACTGAATTTTCATATTCTAGCACTTAGCATTATGCTAAGTGAAAGAATCTAGATTCAAAATGCTACGTATTGTATTATTCCATTTATGACATTCTGTAAAAGGCAAAACTGTAGGGACAGAAAACAAATCAGTTGTTGCCAGGAGCTGGACGGAAGGGTAGACTCAAAGGGGTATGGGAGAATTTTTGAGTGATGGAACTGTGGCTGGTTATACGACTACATGTGTTTGTCACAGTCGTAGAACCGTACACTAAAAAATGAGAATTTTACTGTATGTAAATTATACTTAAAAAAACAGAACTCTTAAAATTGTGTGGTATTAGGCTAGTGGATCCTAAACTTGCTTGTATCTCAGAATCACCTGAGAATCTTCAAACCAAATAAAAACCCCAAACCAACCAAACAAACAAAATTCCTAGATTCCACTAGATTTACACCGTACAGATGTTACATTATAAGGAGTTCAGAAAGAGGGTGGATGCATGAAAAAATTCTGTAATCGCAAAGACTCTTTGACATTTTATAAAACTGGAGTGCAGAAGAATAAATAACAACTATTTAAAGTACTGCTAAATACTGCTCAACTCCATTGAAAACAAAAGGTCATTATTTGGTTGCCAATCTAAGTAAGTCTTTAAAGAATACTGCTAGCAGTCAATTCTAAAAGTTAAATTTTTTACAGCACTGGTGTCTAATAGGTAAACTACTTTTTTAATAAACTAAGTATCATGGAGCAACCTTTAAATGTAAAGTAAAATCCATATTGAAATGTGAGCAGAATGTAAACACAGACAATGTTTTTAGGAACAGTTAAATAAACGGTGACATGAATACTAATTAACACCACCTAACTTAACTGCAGAGCCCTGGTGGCACAGTGGTTAAGAGATCGGCTGCTAACTAAAGGCTGGCAGTTCAAATCCACCAGCCGCTCCTTGGAAACATTTCTATTCTCTCCTACATGGTTGCTATGAGTCGGAATCTACTCAGCGGCAACGGGTTTGGTTTTTTTTTAACCGCTGGGAGTCAGCTTCTTGTGCAACATTCCTAGTTATTCTAGAGGACTAAAGCAGAGGGTGGTGGGAGTGCCACTGGCCTTGCATTAACCTCAGTTGGGAAAGGAAAACAAAAGAACTCAAGGTAGACAGGATGCTGTGAAAAGGCCCCCTTATTTGCTTCTTTTTAGCTCTACCTTTTTCTCCCTCAATGTGCTGAATAGCCAACATCAGGGGAGAGGCTCAGAAGGAAGGCCTTTGAGCACAGAGCAAAGAATTGAGAACTAGCTGCTCCAGTTCCCTAATCCATGCAAATCACTGATCCTGCTCCTTTAGAGAGGGTGGGAAACCAGAATGAATTGCTTCAAATGAAGGCCCTGTGTGAATAAGTAGGGGTTTGTTAGCCAAGGGGGTCATGACAGCTAACAGGCATATATGATTGAACAACTGCCTCCCCATGCCGCTCCCCAAACAGCGAGCTGCTCCTTCTGCTGGCAAGGTTGGTCCCAGCTGCTGAATTCTAACTCATAAAACAGCCATAAAAATGCATCGTCTTATCCTAGGGTCAGGCTGACTTGTGAGACTTTGCATAAATGTTAAAGAGTGCTTAGCAGAGTCAAGGGGACAGAACAGTCAGTAAATAATTGATGTCTAATTGATTAAGATGACCTGAAATTCGTTTCCCTGACAGATATTGGGGGTAGGAAGAAGGATGTAATTCCAAGAAGTATTTTGCCCCTAGATATTAGGTTTTCTATTTTAAAATAAAGAAGAAATGAAAGTCTTCCAGAAAGTTTCTTAATTTTTTTTTTTTGTGCCTTTGTTTTCTCTTCTGAGAAACAAGCATAACAATTATACCTAATGCATAGCACTATGGTGCAGATTAAATAAGCTAATCATGCAAGATGTCTTAGACCATGGCCTGTTACATAATAGATACTCATATCAGCTGTGATAATTATTATTCTAAAAAGTGAAAAGAAGCCAAACGCAAAAGAGCACACTTTATATGATTCTGTTTATATGAAATTCTAGAAAATGGAAACTAATCTATAGTAACAGAAAGCAGATCAGTGGATGCCTCAAGCTGGGAATCAAGGGAAGGATTGACTGGGAAGTGCAGAAGAAACTTTTGGGGGTGATGGCAATGTTTGAAATCTTGACTGTGGTGGTGATTACACAGGTGTATACATTTTTCAAAACTTAAAATAAATGGGTACAATTTATGGTATGTAAAGTACCCTACTTCCACCCCACTCCTCCCCCGCCCTGGCCAAATGTAGTAGAAGTCTCTTGGTACATGAATTCTATGAAGCCGTTCAAACCAAAAAAAGGGTGAATTAATGGGTTCAAAAATTCTTAAAGTAACTTGGTCAATAGGTAAAAAGAGAAAAATGAAAACATTGCTCCTCTTTAGCTTATTTAGTTTTACCACAATGCTGATTAGATTCACTGACACTTTAGAAAGGTCCTATTTATTTTGGGGGAGAAGCTTAACCTGGCTTGGTATTATTTACTCGTTGCAGTGCAAATCTACCTGCGTTGAACTCGGGATCATTTTCGAGTATGATCACAGCTCCTTCTACAGCATCAACTGCGCTCCCTCCTTCCTTGAGGATATTGTAACCCACGGTGGCAGCTCTCATGATCCCCTGGCGCACACACTCTTTTCGATCCTTCGAGATATTGCTGGATCCGCCTCCATGGACCACGATGACAGGATTCATGTTGCCAGATCCTAGGGATCAGGAAGACCAAAGCGTCATTCCAAAAGGGTACAAGAAAGCCCTCTGGTGCGTAATCTCCTCGGGAGAGCTTGTTGGGGACAAGGTTGAGTTTCTACTCTGGGAGAGTTTGCAGCCAGAGGCAATGACCTGAGACCAAGTGGTATGGACTGAATTGTATCCCCCAAAAATATGTGTTGTAATTCCTAACCTCTATGTCTGTGGCTATAATCCCATTTGGGAATGGGATGTCTTCGTTATATTAATGAGGCAGGATTAGTGTAGGGTGTGTCTTGAGTCAATCTCTTTTGAGATATAACAGATTAAACAAGCAAGTGAGAGAAGCAGAGATGGGGTAAGATAGACGCCAAGATACATGGAGATCTCCTAGGAAGTAGAAGGCGAAGAGATAGAGCTCACAGAAACAGAGAGCCTTCCCCGAGAGCCGGTGCTCTGAATTCAGAGTTTTAGCCTCCTAAACTGTGAGAAGATAAATTTCTGTTTGTTAAAGCCATCCACTTGTGGAATTTCTGTTATAGCAGCACTAGATAACTAAGACAGAATTTGGTACTGGAAGAGTGGAGTGCTGCTCTAACATATACCTAAAATGTGGAAGCAGTTTTGGAATTGGGTAATGGGTGGAGGCTGGAAGAGTTTTATGGTGCCTAATAGTAAAAGCCTAAATTGCCTTGAGGAGACTGTTGGCAGCGCTGGTGAGGGCTCAGAAGGAAGTGAGGAGAGCTACAGAGAAAGTCTCTATGGTCTTAGAGAACACAAATGGCGCCAGCAACAGAATGTAGACATTAAATGTGCTTCTGGTGAGGCTTTACAAGAAAATGATGAACATGTGATTGGACAATGGAGGATGGGTGATGCTTTTTATGCAGTGGCAAAGAACTTGTCTGAATTGTGTTCAAATGTTGGTGGAAGGTAGAACTTGTGAGTGATGAACTTGGATAACTGGCAGATGAGATTTCTAGGCGAGATCATAAAGGGGCCACGTGATTTCTCCTTGCTGCTTAATAGTAAAATGCAAGAGGAAAGAGATGGATTTAAAAATGAACTGTGCAAAATCATGAACAGAACTTAAAAGATTTGGAAAATTCTGTTGCACAAACTAAGAATTTTCACCAAGGACAAGGCTATGCAATCTTTTGTTAAAGAGGTTAAGCCTGTGACTGATGGATCTAACCAACTACTAGCTTAGACTGAAAGGGACAAAGAAAGAACAAAAGGAAAGCATGCTGTCTGCCTCTGGAATTCTATAGGCAGGAAACAGGCCACTGAGCTACATCTGTTGTCCTCCAAGAAAAGACAAGACCCATCCCTGGAGGAGCTTAGAGATCAGCATAACTTCCAGAAGGAGCACAGGAAGCAGGGCCTTTTTTGTTTCAAAGGGTGGGGCCACAGTCTCCTGGATCTCAAAGGGTGGGGCCACAGCCTCCTAGGTTTCAAAGAGTTGGGTCTTCACCAACTTGGTTCTGGAGTGTGGGGCTGTCATTAAGGTATGCCAGGAGGATGGGGCCACTATGCAAAGCTGAGGGGGCAGGGCTGCCATGCCCAAGGGGCAGAAGAATGGGGACTGCTGGGGCCGAGGGGGTGGGGTCACCACTCAGATGGACTAGGAAAATGGGGCTGCCTAAAGCCAAGGGAGAAGAATTGCCATCCCAGAGGGCCAAGAAGCTGGAGTTGAAGCCCAGGGCTGAAGGGCCTCCATCCAGAATCCAGACGGCGTGGCCAACACACAGAGTCTAGAGGGCAAGGCCACTGTTCAGATGGTCTCAGAGAAGAGAGGATTATTTTCAAGTCTTGAGAGCTAATGTAATTTGTTCTGCTGGGTTTGCTTGGTGCCCATTATCCCTTCTTTCTCTCCAATTTTTCTCATTTGTAATGGAAACATCTACCTTGTGCCTGTTCCACCACTGTACTTTGGAAAACAGATAATTTGTAGTCTAGATTTCACAGGTTCACAGATAAAGAGGAATCCTGACCCAGGATGGAATATGCCTAAAGTCTCACCCATATTTGATTTAGATCATTTACAAGATGAGATTTTTAGACTTGGAGTTGATTTAAGACTTTTGGGATGATGTGATGGGGTAAATGTGTATTGCATGTGGGGAAGGACATGAATTTTTTGGAGGCCACAGAGTGGAATGTTATAGATTGAATTGTGTCCCCCAAAAATATGTGTTCTAATTCCTAACCTCTAGGCCTACAGTTATAATCCCATTTGGTAATGGGCTGTCTTTGTTATGTTAATGAGACAGGATTAGTATAGGGTGTGTCTTGAGTCAAAGAGATTAAACAAGCAAGTGAAGGAAGCAGTGATGGGGTAAGATAGATGCCAAGACATATGGAGATCTCCAATGAACTAGGAAGCAGAAGCTGAAGAGATAAGGATCTTTCCCCAGAGCCCACAAAGACTTTCCCTAGAGCTGGTGCTCTGAATATAAATGTTTGTTAAAGCCATCCACTTAGGGCATTTCTGATACAGCAGCACTAGATAACTAAGAGACCTAGGATGGAGGGGGTGGGGTTTGGATCTGGTTTGAATTTGCAGGAAAATCTTAGGCCACCCCAGACAGGTGTCTCACATCTGCCTTCTCCCTGACTCCTGCCCGACCGGGCCTGGGGCACCTGCTGGCAGCTAGGTGGGCGGACGGGGGGCTCCCAGACCCAGAGCCTGCACCCCCTCCTCAGGGCTGCCTCCAGCCTCAGTCTCGGGAGACCTGCCCCCTGTCCCATGCTGGGCCACCCGCGTGTGCAGATGGGTGGCACCCGGGGGCAGAGCTCCCGCCCCTCCTCACGGGCTCCTCGTCCGGCCTCAGTTTCCCCAGAGACGTGTACCTGCTCCTGCCTACCCCCCACTCCCGCCGTGGGGCCCGAGGGCTGGATCTCCTCAGCATCCTCCCGTCTGGAACCCCGGCACCGAGGGAAGATGATTCCTGCCTTATGTAAAGGGCAGCTGCTCCAGCAGAACCGCCGACTTACCAAGCGACCCGCAGGCCTGGCCCCGGCTGCCGGGGCCCGCCTGCACACCCTCCAGGTTTCCCCGCAGGCCGGCCCGGCGAACCGCTCGGCCAGCAACCGTTCCGCCGCAACCGTTCGCGCGCCTGCGCACAGAGGCGGGGCCGGCGCACCGCTGACCGACTTCCCGCTGCGGCGGACTTCACTGTCACCTCTCACGTCTCGGGGTCTCCACTCCCGGCTCCGCTCTCGCCATCGGACTCCCTGAACAGGGACATCGCGACTCATCCACCCACGCGACCTTCCTAGCGGGATGCAGGGAAACCTCCTTTTCGTTATGAGGCTGGGGATGGGGCGAGATACGTGAAGTGGTTTGCCAAGGTTTCGTAATTGCAAATTGAAAAGTGCCACTGGACTCATTGAAATCCTTCCTCTGCCGGAGATGTTTGGCAGACTTGCTAGTGTTCGGGAAATGTAATTAAAAACAGTAATCTCCCGCCAACCCTAGAGAACCTCTCCACAAAAGTGGGAGAGAAAGAAAATCGTTTTATGATTGAATAAGCACTGAACTAGAATGTGATGTGATCACAATCTGCTAAAGAGATTTCAAAGGAAGAAATCTGACCTTTTATATAGTCAAGCAGATGCAGCCAATTTCATACACGTTCTCAAGATAAGAGTTGGAATGATTCCAAGGCAACAGGTTTGGTCCCCACCCCCCTCAAGATAAGGCGCCCTGATGGCGCAGTGATTAAGAGCTTGGCTGCTAACCAAAAGGTCGACAATTGGAATCTACCAGCAGCTCCTTGGAAACCCTCTGGGGCAGTTCTACTCTACCCTATAGGGTTGCTGTGAGTCGGAATCGACTGGAGGGCACAGAACAGTCAAGCGCAAACCTTTTGTGCCACCCAGGGACCTGAGAAAAATACTACTGACTTGTAAAACTGGCAAGTGGTTTATTTAGCTTTTTAAAAGATTTACATACATCTCAAATGGGCAGAGAAAGAATTCACAATTATGTTTTCTAAAGTAAATCCTCCAAGGAAAGGAAGAGGGGGAGTCTCTTTCCCTTTTCGAGCCAGGGAAAATTAATTTTTTCCTTTGTATTTACCCGTACACTAATAAAGGAGATCTGGTGGCCCAGTGGTTAAAGCGCTTGGCTGCTAACTGAAAGGTTAGTGGTTCTAATTCACCAGCCACTCTGGGGAGAAAGATGTGGCAGTCTGCTTCCATGAAGATTTACAACCTTTGAAACTCTTTGGGGGCAGTTCTACGCTATCCTATAGTGTCTCTATGAGTCAGAATTTACTCGTTGGCAGTGGGTTTGGGTGGGTACATCTGAGTAAGAGAAAGTACTTACTTTACTTGCATAAGGAAAGATCTTTCCCTAGATTTCTCTTGGGTCCACAATCAACACCTATGGAAGCAGCAGTCAAAAAATCAAAAGACGCATTGCATTAGGCAGATCTGCTGCAAAAGACCTCTTTAAAATGTTGAAAAGCAAAGATGTCACCTTGAAGACTAAGATGCACCTGACCCAAGCCATGGTGTTTTCAGTCACTTCATATGCATGTGAAAGCTGGACAATGAATAAAGAAAACTGGATTGTGGTGTTGATGAAGAATATTAAATATACCACGAACTGCCAAAAGAACGAACACGTCTGTCTTGGAAGAAATACAGCCAGAATGCTCCTTAGAAGCAAGGATGGCGAGCCTACGTCTCACATACTTTGGACATGTTATCAGGAGGGATCAGTCCCTGGAAAAGGACATCATGCTTGGTAAAATAGAGGGCCAGCGAAAAAGAGGAAGACCCTCAACAAGATGGATTGACACAATGGCTGCAACAATGGTCTCAAGCATAGTGATTGTGAGGATGGCGCAAGACAGGGTAGTGTTTAATTTTATTGTACATAGGGTCGCTATGAGTCAGAACCAACTGGACGGCACCTAACAACAACAAGGAATTCCGAATTGGATGAAAAATACATTTTCAGTTAACTTGGTGTATTTGTCATAGTCAAAGGATATGGAAGTACAAAGAGCAAAATAAAAAATGGCTATGATCCTGCCACTCAGAGAGACTCACAGTTAAATTTTTTGACAATTTTTGGTATATTTCTCCCTGTCTCTATTAGGATGTCCAGTTTCTTATTTTTCACGTAAGTAACATTATTTGTAAGCATTTCTGTGCTGTTCAACATTTTCCGTTTTGTACTACTAGGAATAATGCTTCGGTGAACATGTTTACACATAAATTCTTAAACATCTTTGATTAAGAACAATTTGACTAAGAACAGTTCATAGCAGGGGATGTATTAGGTCAAAGGTTATGATAAGTGTTGCAAGCTGGAGGTGGGGCAGGAAATAAGTTTTGTTGCTGGAGAACCCATGAATTATGGCTTTCCTCCTACCAATAATTAACAAAAAAATAAGATAATTATCTCTAAAATAGTTTCAGGGAGCCACAGGCTTTAAATGGAGTCTATAACTATTACCGACCTGATCAGGATTTTAATTGTCAGTCTCTTTTGAATGTGCTCTGTACATAATATGTATGTAGCATGCAAATGGCCAGATTCAGAAAGGAAACAGCAAGTAACTAAGCTTCCAAAATGAAAGATCCTTTAAGAAAACTGAGTAAACCACACAGCACTTCCTGGAATTAGGCAACTCTGCAAGGCAGGCTGGGTAGATTCTCAGGAAGACAGGCTACTAGATTGTGTTTCTACAGACAATAAGGCAACTTGCTTGGCACTTGTTTTGGGAAAACTGGAAAAAGTGCATAGGAGACTGGCCAAAAGCTTTATTGCCTCATTGGAATTCAGCTGGAGTCTTGTGGGCATCCGAAGCTTGCCTGTACCATCCGCAGTACCACACTTGCCTCCTGATTATGTTTCTCTTAATTTCACTCAGCATAACTTGATAGAGCACAGTCTGTTTGGTCAATGCTGGGGAGGGTGCTTAAAACAAAACAAACAAACAAAAAAAAACCCCAAAAAACAAACCCATTGCTGAGCTTAGAGGAATATAAAAGTGCTGGAAGACACAAACTGCCTGTTGGGAAGTTAGCAACTAGCTATTGTGACAAGACCAGTTGTGTTAGTTAAGGTTCCTAATTGCAAACACCAAAATGCACTCTGGCTAGATTAAGGTGAAAAAGGATTTATTAGAGAATATTAAGAAGCCCACAGAATCTCAGGAAGGATGGAGAGTAACTCTAAATCCACACGGACAGGAATATTACTTAATCACGCTATGGGGCTTGCTTTAGACCCTAGAAAGTATATATTAAACACCTTTGCTGGGCACTTTTGTTTGGGACTGTGTTCCCAACACTCCATCCCTTCTGCCCCTGACAACCAGGAACCTTTGCTGCTGAGCTTATTGGAAGACCAGTCTTCTCAATTACTTCTTCTCATTGCTCACTTCTGAATCCAGGTCTCATGTGGATGCATTTGATTGGTAGAACCCAGCTCATGTGCCTCTATCCTAGCTGCAAGGCAGTATGGATATTCAAATTTAGAGGTTTCTACTGTGGGAGGCAAGAAATTCACAACACAGAAATATACTGAAATGTAGAGAGCGTGTTGGAAAGATGTTGGATGATCACTACCCAAAGTATGAAAGCCATTACACCCACTCCTCACTTATTGACATGGTTAGGTTCCAAAGACCAGGTCATTATGTGAAAATTGGTGCTATGTGAAAATGGAGGATGACCACACCACATCACAAAATGGAGGATGACTATATCATCACATGACTGCTAAATTACATCATTATTTAACGGCCTAATTACATCATTACATAACTGCCAAACAACTGAGAATCATGGCCCAGCCAAGTTGACTCAAAACTTTAACCATTGCAGCCTACGTTACACTTACCTTGCACCTCGACGTTGATTATTGCCAGACGTACATTGTAAATGTTCAAAATAGTCGGAAAGTAGATTTTTTACTATTGTCGTAAATGCGAAATGTTGGATAATGCGGTAGCCGATAAGTGAGGAATGGTGTAATAGAAAAGAAACCATAGACCATGCCACGAGGCGCTTTTTCTCAAGTTCATAGTCCATGTGTTCCAAGATGCCTAACCTAGATCCTACTGAGTCAAAATGAATAGCTCCCTCTTTCATACTTCTTTGTTGTTGTTAGTTGCCATAGAGTCAATTCTGACTCATGGCAACCTCATATGCGCACAGTAGAACTGCCCCATAGGGTTTTTAAGGCTGTGACCTTTTGGAAGCAGATTGCTAGGGCTGTCTTCTGAGGCATCTTTGGGTGGGTTTGAACTGCCAACCTTTGGCTAGTAGTTGAGTGCTTAACTGTTTGCACCATCCAGGGGTTCCCATACTTCATTAGCACTTTCAAAGAAGCTTTACTATAGAATTTTTTGTATTAGAATTAATTCCATAAACATCTAACTTTCTGACTTTACCCGCTTGATTGTGAATTCTTGGGGGATGGATTTTCAGTTTTAATATCGGTCTTGAATGTTATACTAAGAGGTTTGACTTGATTCTATAGAAAGGTTTTCAACTAGAATTTAGTGCCAAAAAGCCCCAATTTGCTTCTCCAGGTGAATCTGTCTACCTATATCTACATTTGTCTATATTTGGATGTTTGACTAGGTATTTACAACTCATTGTATTTCCATTTTTGCCTTGACTGACAGGAATCATGGAGATAAATTCAATGTTTAATTGTGGTAATTGTTTCAGCCTATATTTCTAATAATAATAAGAGCATATAGTTATGTACGGCATATTACATTTTGGGAAGATCATTCACAAGGATTACTCTATGTAATTCTGATAATAGCAGGATTTGAATTTTAGCTCTTTCTGATGGAATAAAAAACAACCCAGTCATTTGGCTGGCAGTTTAAAAGTGAGTTGAAGCGACTTCTTCTAGGGCAGTGTCATCTCTTACTGTCCTTACCAAAGATAGATGAAATTAAACAGGTGTCCCTGACAACAGCCTCAGCCATCCGCCTCAGCCAATTCAGAGGGACACGATGCAGTTACAGTGCTTTGGCTACAAACTGGCACTGTTCCTTTAAGGATTGCTGGGGGAGGATTT